TTAACTAAGAAAAATCAAGAGTTTTCCATCAATTATGCAGGTTTTGTATCCACTCACCACCCTCCAACAGCCGCCGCAAGTTTCCCCATTTTCCCCCAAAAAACCAGTGCCACTCTTACCCCGGCACTTCTTCATTCATTCATTTGCAATTTCCATTAAAATGTCATTGAAATTTCACTTACAAAGAAAAAAAACAAAAACCGATAAAAAAAATAAAATAAAAATTTGTACTTAAAAAACCAAACGGAACTGAAGCAAATAAAAATTGAGTAGAGGAAAAACTGCAGCGAGTTTTGTATTGTGGTGGAAATTCGAAGGCAGTCCAAAGGGGAGGTGGGGTCTCGTGGAAAAACTTTAGCTGGCAATTCTATTGCCAAACGCATTTTGCACTTCAATTGCACTTGGAAATGAAAATGAAGAAGGGGAAAACTCTCTGGGGGGAGGGGAGAGGAAGAACTGCAAAAATTCAAGCCTGTTAATATGCGTAAGTGTGTTGGGGCAGGTGGGGTGACAAGGATCTTATCTCTTGCCACGAATCCTGCCTAGAGATGTCTATCGTAAAAGGTGTGACAACTAAGAAAATATCGTATCTAGGGAATAAGGAAAATAATTTTAACTTTCAATATAATAACAATATAAACATGGTTTTGTTATTAAAAATATGTTCATTTTCATTTTTTTTATATTTAAATGAAAATGGCAGTGGCTGTTATCGGAAGACTAACAATCGCGGTGACGATAACATTTTCAATTTTCAACAGAACTTAATCAAATTTGAGATATAGCCATTTTATATTATTCTAGAATTTTGTGGAAAATTTCATGAAAATCGGACTAATATATCATATAGCTCCCATAGGACCGATCGAGAAATTTGAGAGAATTGAGAATGGCAGTGGCTGTTATCGGAAGACTGACAATCGCCGTGACGATAACATTTTCAGTTTTCAACAGAATGAAATCAAATTTGAGATATAGCTATTTTATATTTTTCTACAATTTTGTGTAAAATTTTATGAAAATTGGACGACTATATCATATAGCTCCCATAGGAACGATCGAGAAATTAATACAATTAAATTTATAACTTTTTTAGTTTTCAGCTGATTTTCATCAAATTTGAGGTATAGCCATTTTATATAAGTCTAAAATTTTGTGGCAAATTTCATAAAAATCGGACGACTATATCATATAGGTGCCATACAAACGATCGTTTGATGTAGAGGAAAAATGCAAATCTGTGAATGTAAAACTGCAAATATAATATGTATAGGTGAATTAAATGAAATCAGGTATTACTTCATTGTTTTTTTAACACAAATATACATATATAATTTATATTGTATGGATTCCTAGTCATAGAAGTTCTATCTGCAAGGGTATATAAACTTCGGGGTGCCGAATTTAGCTTCCTTTCTTGTTGAAATAAAAATAAATATATTATAGATGGTATTTATATTATATATATTATTTATATTATTTATATTATATATATTATTTATGTTATTTTATTATTTATATTATTTAAATTATTTATATTAATATATTATTTATATTTATATTATCAATATTTTCTGACATCCCTAATCCAGGACTCGGGCTCCTCTTTGGCTTTGGCTCCGGCGTCTGGAGCTGTCATTGATATGGCGCTCTGCACCCTCTAACAAAACCTTCCCCTCTCCACCTTTTGAGTTTTCCAGCTCCCCTCCCTCGCTTCCTCCCACAGTCTCAGACATTTCCCCGCACCTTTCGCACCTTCTTTCCTCATCGTTTTTGTCGCCTGTTGTTAATTGTCATTGCGTCGCTTTAAGCCGCTCAGTGACAGAGTCGCGGGAAATGGGAAATGGAAGGGCGGGAAGGAAAACTCAGCAAGAGGGGGAAGGAAATAGAGGTTGAGGAAAATCGGTAGGTGCATTCAGTGAGGTAAGAAGAAGACGAAGGAGCTGGCAAAACTCTATCAGCAAGTATTTTTTATACACTAGCTGAGGGTCCTTGGGGGAAGCATACACTTTTTAAAATGTTTTCTTTATCAATGATATTGCTAAAAAATTTATTTATTTTTTTATAAAGCGGTTTTCCTTATTCCTTTTAAATTTATTTTTGTTTTAATTAAGCTACATAATTTAATGTTTTTTATAAAGACTATGGCAACAGAGTAAATTAGTTTAAAATCTTTTTTAACTCTCTTATATAGACAACTTCTCTCTATTTTTCCTGATATTTATTTTTTAAGGATATTTTCAAATTCGTTGCTTATAGTTTTTTTATGTTATTGTTGTTATCCCTGTTGTTGCTGTTGTTGTCTCTGTTGCTGTTTTCACGCGCGGTTAGCGCCTGTAATTGCATTGCCAAGTAAACGACGAACCGCGAACAGTGAGCGACACTCGTACGTGTCTCTCTGTCCACGGTTGTGTGTGTGCGTTACACAGTAAAAAATATTATAGATATTAAAAAAAAAAATAAAAAAATATATATATATATATACATATATATAAACAAATACATATATTTATGCATTATATCGTTAGACGATTTGTGAAAGTTTTGACCAAGACAGTAAATAAATGATTGTCTGAAGATTTTTCCAATTGTAGTTTGTTAAGAAGCTAAATATTTATTTATTTGTATTTATTTAAATTAATAATAATAATATTTTTAAGTTATAATCCAGATAACTGTTTTTTATAAATAAAATTAAATAGAAAACCAAATCCCAATAATAAGAAATAGGGAACTTTTTCTTTAAGTTAAATAATTTGGAAGTACGAAAACCTATTTAAGTAATTTGTATACTTTCTTCATAGTATTATTAATTTAGTCAGAAGCCTTTTACGCCATGAAAGAGTTATTTCCGACCCTATAAATCATATATATTCTTGATCAGCATCAAAAGGCGAATCGATCTAGCTATGTCTGAGAATACAATAATTTTGTTAAATTTTTTCGAAATTTTTTAAGGGGTTACATCGTTAAATTTTATTTTAAAAATCGATAAAATTAAAATTTTTGTATATTGTAGATAGAGTATGTAGATTTATTAACCTAATAAAAACTAACACAGAACAGCTTTCCGAATTGAATTTAATGCATTTTTGGCTTAGCTATGCGATTTTTCAATATTTGATTTATCGAAATTGTCATATAAAAATATCGATAAGTATCGATACAAATAATGTGAATATTTTAAGTTTAGTTATGATCCCATCATAAAATTATAAACTGCCAAGGTATTTAAACTTTGGCTTCCCGAAGCTAGTTTAAATTCCCCTCTACTTTTCCCCTTAATTTTTCTCTGTGTACCATGTGCGTGTTGTTGTGTTCGGGTGTGTGTGTGTGTGTGTGTGCCAGCGTAAGTGAAAATTATTCCAACAGCCCCCGCCAGGCATTCAGGCACCAAAACTGTCGGTTGGCCAACTTAGGCGAAAAATTGAGAAGCAGCAGCAGCAGCAGCAAGCGCCCGTCGCATCAACGGCAATAGAATGAAATGAGGCTGGCGGCATTCGGGGGTTAAATCGGTGGCGGTAGCGGGTTAAATCGGTAGAGCTTGCCCCACCAGGGGGCGCCATCTGCGGCACACTGGCGCCAAAATGATGGAAACCATTCCGAGTGCACAATCTCACAGTGGGGTTAAACATCTTTAACTCAACAAAAAAATAAGAAAAAATAAGAAAAAATGAAAATAAGATTGAAAATATGCAATCTCCCGTGGGGGTTGTGGTTGGAAAATGGCAAAGTGCAAGAGCAGATGATGGGCCAAACTTTGTACTGTGCGTGGTATATTTTTCAGTACAAAAAAATTATATAAAATAAAGTTTCCAAGATACTTTTTAAGTCTCCTTAAGCCACGATTATTGCCAATTAATGTTTCTGTCAGCAATGCCAGAAGAGCGGCACAAGAAACTTTAAATTTCAGTAGGGGAAAATGATGAACTCAGAGATTAAATAGATAAAATCAATATATTTTTGGAGCAACTTGTTGACTTAATATTACATATTGAAATATAAATTATAATTGTGTCAGATTATGTTAATATATCGATACTAAAACATATCGATATTTTAGCTTTTTGATGCATGTGCAATAAATCGATATTTCCTAGCTTAATTATTATTATTATTATTTTTGGAAATATATATAATCTATAAAGGCATTTGTTGGGTTATTTTTAAGTAATATTGATATTTTAATGTTAAATTCTATATTTTTCCATATACCAATTTTCGATAAAACAAACTGTATTAAATTTTCGATATCAAATTAAGCATACTGGATTTTTTATCTCAATATACATTCATGATTCTCACATAATGCTTAATTCAAAAATAAAATAGGTTCCAAAACCTATCCTTTAGCCATTTTACCACAACAGAAATCGGTTAATTCCGATATTTTTACATATTTCACAGTTCTGTATATGAAACTTTAATTAATTTTTAATATAACAAATAATATACAAGAATATCGCAATTACTATTCATAATGGTAATCAAATTTTTAATGGTTAATTTTTCCAACATTCCCAATTAAACAAATCAAACAAACTATAAGCCAAAATTCAGCCTTAAGCCACTGTACCCTCCAAAAAATAAATAAAAGGAGAAACCCCTCCTCTCACACCAACTGCCCTTGTGTAAACAATTTTGCTGTTTCTGTTTCTGTGGCTGATTTTAAATTTTAATTAAAGTGCAGAGTTCTGCGTACCTTTCAGCCTTCAAATGGCTGTGACCACTTGAGGTTCACGATCTGTGGCCAAAAAGGCAAACAATGGGCCCATAAGAGTGCGCACTTCTTGACACGCTTGGCCCTCTTTCGGGCATCCCAAACCAAGTTATTGAAGACATCGTTGCTATCCAAGCCCCGAAGGCAAAAATGCTAGGCGAAAGGCTTTCTAAAAGTGCAAAAAAAAAAGGTGTGCAGAGAAACAAATGAAAATCATATTGCCATGTCGCATTCTGGATAAAAGAAAGCGGCTTTAGCAAAGACCCATTGATTATTAAATTTCCGTCAACTCATGGTGGGCTATAAAAGTGCCGGAGAACCTGGATTCCATCACACAATCGCCATCATCCGCAAGCCGTGCAATGATCTATACAATTTTGGTGCTCTGTCTGCTGGGCAGCGGTCTATCTCAGGCAGCTCAATTGGTTCAGGAGCAGGATCTCAACGATAAGGATCTTCCCCGTTTGGCTGGAATCTATGTAAAGGATGGCAACGAGAATGGTCAATTGAGATTCCTTGCCTCAGGACTCTCCAGTAGCAGCAACTCCAACACCGGGCTCAATTCGGCCCTTAATCAGTATATCACCAACAAGCAGGATATGCTGGAGCAACTGCGTCCTGCGACCACATCAACGGGCACTGGTCTCTCCACAGTGACTGGAACTACAACTACTGGAACTGGAACTGCAACTGCAAGTAATCTGGTGACCACGACTGGAAATGGAGCCATCTATGTGAATCTTGGCAATGCTGGCTCCTCATCCTCCTCCTCCTCCTCATCCACGTCGGCCACCAATTCGGCCATCAATCAGGCCATCTATGGCTCTTCACCGATTGCTGATCTGTTGCCACAGATTGTGGGTCAGGCGGTGGCCAGTCGTAGGCGTCCCGTTAACAGGAGGCGTGTTCCCGCCGGCAATAGGCGTCGGGTCAATAAGAGGCGTGGCAGCGTTAACAATAACAACCAGATCCAGCGACGTCGGCGACGTGGCAACAACAGGGGCAAGAACAAGGCCCAGGTTATGGTGGTGCGTCCAAATCGCGGCTAAGCCAGAGCCAGAGCCGGAGATTGAGATTGGGTTTGAGGGTTTGGTCTTTGGTAATAGATCAACTCTTATAGCTCTCCTCCTCCGTTAGTTAAGTAAATTTGTATTTTTTTTCCTGTTCGAGGCCAAGCAATTTTTTTTTTAATGATTATTATTAGTATGCGAGAAGGCAAACTTAATTTATTTATTTAAATAATTGAAAGCAATTACACTGTGCAACAATGAGTGGTTTTCTTTGGGACTACTTTCTTTTTATTAGGGGTTAAAAGATAACACCGAACTATAGGTTGTTCTCACAATGTGAATACTAAATAATATAACTGCCAGAAAGGATCAGTAAGTATCTTTCAAAAATAAGTTACTATGAACAGTTAGTAACTAATTAACCATGAGCACAAAATATCTATAAGCAGTAATAAAGTAAATAAGTAAGTATCTATGACCAGTTAATAAATATGATCTGTAAGTATCTATGAAAATTAAGTAACTATGGACATTAATTAACTATGTAAGTAAGTAACTTTGATCAATATTTAACTATAATCAATAAGTATCAATTAACATTAAGTATCTATGACCAGTAAGTATCTATGACCAGTAAGTATCATGACCAGCAAGTACCTATGATCAATAAGTAACTAAGATCAGTAAGTAAGTATGATCAATAAGTATCTATGATCAGTAAGTATGCATGATCACTTACTAACTTTGAACACTAATAAACAATGACTTGCAACTTTTGAAACACAACACATATCTGAGACGTGGCCGGCAGCAGTCACTTCGTTCCGGGGAGGTTAGAACAAGTTGGGAATCATATGCACAGGTGCGCGAAATTTGTTTTGGAACAAAGAGCAAGCTATTTCAATGAAACTATGGAGTTATTTTGCGATGTAATTTACTAGTATATAAGTCGAAGCAATGCGAATCGGTGGACTATATATATACATATATATAGCTACCATAGGAACAATTTTAAGGAAAAATATTATAACTTTTCTAATTTCCTACAGATTTTCATTAAATTTTATATATAGCTATTATATATTATTATAGATTTTTTAGGTAAAAATTTATTGAAATCAGACTACTATATGATATAGCTTCCATACAAACGATCGTTAAAAATAGAGCAAAATGCAAAACAGTGAATGTAAAACTGTTAATATAAAATGTATAGTTGGAGGAGTAAGACTCTAAGTAAAGGTAAACCAAGATGTAAATGTAAATAGAATAATTAGAGAGTTTATCCTGCTTTCCCCTTCATATTTCCTATATAAATTTCCTCTATACAAATTAACTTCTCATCTTGACTCAACATTGATTGCTAAACCTAAAATTTGTGTAGGGCAGTGCCTAGGTCCGGTGGCTTTAATTTATGGGCCAACTGGTGTTCATGTTCAGGGCCTCTCGGACGGTGCTTAGGTGTAGTAGCCTCGACCCCTATTCATCCCTCTCCATGACCAAGTCCAAGCCCCCCCTTGTTAGAACCCCCTGGTGAGCCCCTGGTCAAGTGCAAGACAAACGGTCTCCAGTTGGCGCTGCATGCGGCGGTCAATGTCTTGATAAATGTCTACCAACGGCCGCCAGGGGAGCGGTTCCAGGAGCCTTTCCCTCCGGTCGTCCTTTTCCCTTCCCTTCCTTTCGCGCGGTGCCCCATTTCGCGCCCCTGTAAATCACCGTCACGTGTCCTGGCTGTGCATTATGTGCTCATGACTGTAATGAGCCTGTAAGTGGACCTAATCAGTGTCATAATAATAGAAATTAATCACTGCAAGGCCAAGTCATTGGACGTGGGCGAGGTGGTGGTGCAGGTTCTCCCTCCTGCAGTTTGCAAAAGTCAAAGTTGGAACCGCCTCCACCAAACCGCCTCCACTCACACAAAAGTCCTGGCATTCTGGTCTTGTGCGGTTTTGTGCAGCGCTTTGGCGCATACTTTGTAAATGTTTTGTAATGATTTGATTTGAAATTCATTTGAATTATTGCTTGCTTCCTGTTTCCGGTGCCTTCGAAAATACTTTCCTGTTTTTACCCCCAACTCCCCTAACGGCAGGCAGCCGCAGCAGGCGGCCATGGCAAAGGATATAGGAAGGACTCTATGATGTACGACCAACTTGGTTGGCCTTCTACTCTAACCGGGCGCTCTCTGGGGAGTTTATTAAGTACTGCCAAGTCTACACTAAGCGAAATCATTCTGTATAATTCTTATTTCATAAATATAATTGGGTTAAAATAAAACTATTCTAATATATAAATAACGTTTGATATTATCAGAAAGGGAGCTTTGGTTATTTTTCAGTTATTGATGGGGCTATGACACTGCCTGGTTTCATAAAATTCCAAAAGGAGAAGGTGGGTTTTACTGTAGAAATGGTCACACTTAATTTTTCATAATTCTAATCCTTAGAAAAGCGTATAATATTTTGTGATTTTAGCTAAGAACTAGTTATGTAAATTTTGTATATTTATTTATGGTGCTTTGATACTATTAGGTTTCTCTAGATCGCAAAAAGAGAGTTATTTTTCCTAAAAAAAGGGTCATACCACATTTTTATTTTATTTTACTATTTTTTTTTTTATTTAATTTAAAAGTAAGCTTGCTGGGAAGCAGTTAAACCTCTTTCCCCATTTTTACTTATACTTACTAAATCATTTTAGGAAACTTAAAATTTAAGTTATTAATTCTAAATATTTTATCAATATTTTATTAATTTTCAACCATTAAAATATAAAATTTTATTTTTAATTCAGAGAAATAAAAATACACTGTAATAACCCCATAAGTTCTTCCTTTTTCTTGACTCTTTAATCAAAAATAGAGTAGCCCTTCTAAATCAATCTTCGTTTTGAAAATACCAATTTAAATGACACATTTTTCTCACAGTGCATATATGCATAGACCAAAGGGCAACAGGGAGCTCTGTGTGAGTGTACGGAACTTTGTTAATATGCAAGTGAATGGACATTTCCGGTACGGACAAAACGTGCCATGTGCCAGGCCTAAAACCGAGCTGAACGAGTGAAAGAGAGACTGAAACTGAACCAAGGTCCTGGCCAAGTCCGCGAATCCTTTTGCCGGTGGTGGCGGGGCGAAGGGGTGGAAGGTTCACCGCCCAAGGACATGTGCTATGCCAAAAGTCCACATCACCAGGATGCCCTTGGATCCATTCGGTGGCGTCTCTCTTTGCTTGGATACATTTCATTTCATTCCCTATGAAGTGGCATTATTTTCTGGGGCTTAGATTGGTGCAGGAAATTTAAAAAAATATATAGCATTTTTAGGATTTAAAGTGATAGATGTATCATTAATAATAGATGACTCTAAAAGTATAAATTATAGACATGTAATTAATAATTATAGAGAATTCTAGGATTTAAAATGATGGATACATAATTAATAATTGTTAAGAAGTAATAAAAGCGATTGCCTCTCTTAGATTATATTTAATTATTTAGTATTTATATATATTATCTTCAAGTTCAAACCTTTTATAGTAATTTAAATTATAGTAGTTTCAAAATATTCCCTAACAAATATAACTTAAAAATTTAAAAATATACATATTATTGATATATTTTTCATATTTTTCATGAGTTTTTGGTAATATTTATGGCTTTCCTTGATTACTTGATTTGTAAATATTCTTCTAAATAGTCTAGGAAATATTCTTGTAAATATTCTTGCAAATATTTTGTAAATATTTCTATAGATATACCTATAAAAATTCTTTTAAGTATTCTATTAAATATTCCAATAAATATTCTGGTAAATATTTTGCCAATATTCTTGTAAATATTATAGTAAATTTTCCTATAAATATTCTCCTAAATATTCTTGTAAATATATTCTTAAAATGCTGAAATTCTTAGCCTTTTATGTTCCGAAAGAGCTTTCAAAATTCGTCTTGTATAATTTTTGGAAAATTGCAAATTTCTATATGCTTTTTTGGCCAGTTTCTTGGCTTCGCTCATGTGTAATTTTCAATTAAAATGATTTGAGTAGACAACTTTGAACGCTTCTGGCTGTAAGTCTGCCACTGACTTGGACGCTGTACTGATTCGGATATTCTCATTTCGGACTCTGTTCCTTTTATTTATATATATATATATAAATATACATCTATATATATATATATATTTTTTTTTTTTTTGTTTCTCGTCCTGGAGGGCCACAAATACTTTTTTGGGGGCAGGAATCATAAATCATGCAGCAGGCAAAGACACGAACCGCATTGGAAATCGACGACCAACGATGGGTATGGAGACGTAGACTCAAGTCCAGGCGTTGACAGAGGAAATACCCAAAAATATATATATAAAATAGTACCAAAGAACTCGACTTTGAGGTACCCTTTGATATGGAATTTATTTTTAGAAACTCCTTACAATCAAGCTCATTTTTTAGCCTCCTTCTTAGTTGCCACAATTTCAATATACTCTCTTAACATAAGGCATAAATATGTATATAAATGTGTATATGAAAGGCAGAATAAGTGGGCCACAAGTTTCGTTTCGTTTCACTTTTGAAATAGTTGCAAAGTGGAAAAGTTTGCCCGCACTCCTTGTCGATTCCGGTAGCAGCCCGGTCGGCATTTGGCATGCAGAGTGTCCACGTCTGTGGTCAGGAAAGGGCATAATTGCGGAGTGTCCCCGTCTTTTCTGTGAGCTTTCAGATCGAGAGATGGTTAGAGATGGCAGCGTGAGTGTCATGAACAAGTTTTAGGTCACTAAATGTTATAGAAACTATTAATTTTCAGATATAAAAAATTCTATAAATGTATTTTTTGGTATAATTACGTTACAAGCTATAGCATTTATTGACAAAGGAATAGAGTTAAATCTAAGCTTGAGTCCTGGGTTTCAGATTGATTAATTTCTTTATTAAACAATTAATTTAATTTAACAAAAAGTTAATTGAATTTAACATTTAATATTTAATATTCGATCAATATAAAATGTTGTTTAAAATAAGAAGTAGAAAAATAAATCTTACTAATTTATTG